CTGTTCCCTGGGGGTCTCCGCCCTCGGGGGTCCCTGTTCCCTGGAGAGTCACTGCCCTTGGGGGTCCCTGTTCCCTGGGGGGTCTCCACCCTCAGGGGTCTCTGTTCCCTGGGGGTCTCTGTCTTTAGGGGTCCCTGTTCCCCTGAGGGTCCTCTTCCCTGAGGGGTAACCACTTTGGGGGGTCCTGTCACCTAGAGGTTTCACCTGTCCAGGGTGATGGCCAGCAGAGGGGTGTCTTTCCTCTGCGAAGAGCAGAGGGGGGCTGTGCAGAACCTCTCACCCCCGCAAGACCAGAATCTGCAAGCTGTCCCCTCAGAGTTCCACCGGAGGGGCTCCCAAAGGCCTTGCTGTGCCAGCCCAGCCTCCTGCCCTGGCTGTGCCCCCCCATGCCTTCTCTGTGCCTGAGTGGCCCCCACAACACGCCTACCTGGAGCCTGGTGGGTGGCCGTCTGGGTCCTCTCCCTTAGCCTCAGCCGTCGCTCACAGAGTTCCCTTTCAACGTAGCTGTGCCATGCTCTGCACGCCCACAGTTACCCGTGGGGCCTGTGTCTCAGGCCCCCACGAATTGCCTGCTTGGACCGTCAGTTTTCTCATCTGAGCAGGAGTGGGGCTCCTGGACCCTGCCTTGTGTCCTGCTCTGCCTGCCTTGGCTGTGACCTGTTCACTCACACACTCATTTCTTTAGTCAGTGTTCACTGAGCCACGGCCTAAGGGTATAGCACTGTGACAACACCAGGCAGAGGCCAGAGTGGGGGAGCAGTGGGCAAGGGGGAAAGCGCTTTGTGAGAAGGGGCCTCTGGGGGTGGAGCAGGGAAGGCTTCCCGGAGGAGGGGACATTTACCACAAGTATTCATAGGAGGATGCATTCACTCCCTGGGTGTGTGTGTGTGTGTGTGTGTGGTGGTCCTGTGGTCTCTGTGTGTGGTGGTCCTGTGTGAATGTATGTGTGTGCATGTAGTGTGTGTGTGTGTGCGAGCATGTGTAGTGTGTGGCAGTTGTAGGTGCAGCAGGCACAGGGTGTTGCTTTGGGTAACTGTCCGGTGTTGCTGTGTGGACATATGTGCAGCATGTGCATGTGTGTAACATGTAAGCATGTGTGAGCATGTGTGTGAGTGGGCAGTGGGCAGTGGGCGCAGCAGGTGCAGCGTGCCGCACTGTGTAACCATCTGGTGTTGCCGGGGCAGGAATGTGTGTGTGTATGTGTGAACATGTGTGTGTGAGTGGCGGCAGTGGGCACAGCAGGTGCCGGCATGCCTTGCTGCGTAACCACCCGGTAGCATGTGTGTGACCATGTGTGTGTGCGTGTGTGTGTGTGTGAGTGGCGGCAATAGGTGAAGCAGGCACAGGGTCACACCGTGGTGTGTAAGCAGCTGGTAGCTGTGAGTGTGTGTGCTTGTGAGCATGTGTGAGTGAGCGTGTGTGTGCGCATGTGAGTGAGCGTGTGCACGTGAGCATGTGTGAGTGAGCGTGTGTGCATGTGCATGTGTGAGTGAGCGTGTGCGCGTGTGCATGTGTGTGAGGGGCGGTGGTGGGTGCTGCAGATGCAGGGGCACCAGCCGGTGTCTTTGCAGCAGGAGAGTGAGATCAGTCGCAGTCAGGAGGGTGGCGGGGACGTGGCTGCCGGAGCTCGGGCTCACGGGCGTCTGCACAGGGCCCGTCGTCTGCCCAGGTGCTGGGCTGGACGCTGCCGAGTCTGGGTTTTAGGGAGCTCCCTGTGGCCGCACCAGGAAGGGGGGTTCGGGATCCCCTCAGCAGGAAGGTCAGTGGGGCTGCCCCACAGGATGGTCATCACAGTGGCCGACAGGAGCCCCCACGGTGGCCAGGCCCTCTGCCAGCCCGACTCTCGAGAGTTGTGTGGCCGGCTGCTGCTGTTACGCGAGCAGAGGAGACAAGCAGCTGTTAGAGGCCAGGACCAGACTTGAACCCAGGTCATGGATCCCAAAGTCCAGAGAGGCCAGGGAGGGACTAAAGGCCCGGCATGTGGTCGTTGGAAGCCACTTGGTCCCCAAAGCCCCTTTCTAGCCAAGCGGGCTCAGGAGAGACCATGGCAACAGGATGGAGACGGTCCTCAGAAGAAGGGCATCTGAAGGACTTGGGGCGTGGGGCCAACAGGCAGGTGAACGCCCGGCTGGTGGGGAGCAGGTGTGGCCACTCAGCACCCATGGTTTAGAGAACTCAGACAGCTGGCTGCCACTCAGGAGGGCCGGCCACTGGAGCTAAGTGTCCCCAGCCCAGCGGGTCCTGCTTGCACGAGGACAGATGTGGGTGTTCCCTGGGGATCCCAGCAACTGGGACCCTCCTCATCCTGAAACACCGTCCTCCCTGGCAGAGGCCCATCAGGGTCTTTGGGGTCCCACAGCCCGAGGCCCTGAAGCAGGCCTGTGGGCTTCGAGGCTGAGCCTGTGCTTGGGGGACCCTTACCAATGCCTCCCTTCCACCCCTTTGGCGAGTCTCTGAGCTCAGCTACTTTCTGCCCAGCCCACCCTCAGACTCAGTTACTCATCAGTTACTCACCGGGTGCCACTCCCACTAATTCCTTTTTTATTTGGTTTTAATGAGCCAAGCCCTCTCGGCTCTCGCCACAGCGATGAGTTGGAGGCCGACAGCAGAGAGAAGGTGCGGTTTCCAGTGCGTGGAGGAAGGTCCCCTACACCCCACACCGTGAAGGCTGCTTCTTCACCTCTCACAGCCGCGCCACGGGGAAGCCGGGGCCCCATCCAGAGACCCGGAAGGGGCCCCACGGGCTTCATGATGCCCCGGATCACAGTGCACTGGGCGCGTGGTGGGGTCTGAGGCCTCAGAGTGTCACTGCCTCCTCCCCAAATCCCCCAGGGCCCCGCTGGCCTGTCTGGCCAGCTCCTGCAAGTGCCCTCCCTTCTCTGGACGCCGGTGTAGAGGCCGGCCTGTGGGGTGACAGCAAGTGCAGACATTCAAAGCAGCCTGACCCTGACCAGGTGCAGCAGCCCTGACCAGGTGACCTCTGCTCGGCAGCCAGTGATGGCTCCCCAGGCCCTGAGGGGGCTCCAAGCACCTCAGCCTGGCCCCCAAGGCCCGGCCCACCCGCCTCACCCACCTCTCCACCAGCCTCACTCATCCAGGTTGAAGGCCTAGCCCGCCTGTGTATAGGGCAGCCTCCCCGTGG